TTTGCTAGGAAAATCAAGGTGGCGATATCAATATTCATTACTGGAAAAACCTATGTCAGAATGTTGGTGTGTATACTATGGATATAGCTAAGTCTCGAGATAAGCAAGCAGAAGTAGATGAAGTTGTAATTAAGCATTAGATAGTATATTAGCTTATTTGGTGATATATGCTATATAATTTATGTAAATTTGATTAAAAATTGAGGTATTGTGTATCACCTTATTTGGTGATATATTGTAAGTGTTATAAATAGTAATAATTGTGAACATTATTGTGTAACGTTTCCTTTATGTTTCCATTATTGTATTCCGTTACAATTGTTAATATATATATATATATATATATATATATATATATATATATATATATGTGTGTGTGTGTGTGTGTGTGTGTGTGTGTGTGTGTGTGTGTGTGTGTGTGTGTGTCCTTCTAATGTACGGTCAGTTGGTTGTTGATGTGGATGAGTTTAGTCTTAAGAAACCCTCTATTTTGTCTCTATTCTTCTTTTTGTTCTTACAGTTCTTCATTACGTTTTTCACAACTAAAGACTTGCAATACAACATGTTATCAGCATGCTCTCTAGGTGAACGGAAACCCTAAACCCACGCACTCCAACTGCAAGTGCTCTGGCGATTTGCCAGAAAAGTGTCACAAAACCTCCGCAAACTTCTCTTGTCATTTTTTCTGGTGTCGGCGGCCAGTGTTTGGCCGAACTGAATCGATCATCTTCTCGGTCCCTTTGAGACCATTATGGAGGTGGGTTGTCTGCTTCCAGAATCACCTGACGCTGTTGAGAAGTGTACCTGTTCATGGAATTCGCGACTTTCAAGTAGATTTGCGACGCAGGGATTTTACGTTATCTCCATCGACGATCAAGCGTCTCTAGGATAGCGATGCCCTAGGGCATCAGAAATAATTTTTATCGCTTAAGAAATTATACATAAAACTAGGGCATCAGAAATAATTTTTATCGCTTAAGAAATTCTACATAAAACTAGGGCATCAGAATTTGATCTTCATCATTTGCCATCAACTTGGAAAAAAATGTTAATTCCTGATAATAAATCTCAACATCATTATTTAATGAGAAAAAGTATGTTTTTTTCTCAATTGCATGTTCAATATTTTGCAAAAAACTCCGTAGATATATGAATGTATACACAGAATTCTTTAGATTAAGCTAAAAATAATCTGAATATTATGTATATAGAAAAACCTTAATTCAAATTGTGAATCATACGGGGAATATGTAAGATTTTCTCTAATTATATATGTATATATATATATATATATATATATATATATATATATATATATATATATATATATATATATATATATATATATATATATATATATATATATATATATATATATATATAGGGAAATGATCAGGTGCATTTGTGGCTTCCCGTGCGAATGTGCGGTTGATTAATGTGTGTGAGTTTTGTACTTAATTTGCGTTAGTCTTGTGCTTAATGTGTCTGAGCTTTATACTTAATGTGTGTGGGTGTGTAATGTTAATGTGCGTGGGTTTTGTACTTAATGTCCGTGAGTAGTTCAGAATTACGAGCTCAGAAGAAAGCAGAACAGAAAATTTCCACAGTCTCCTTCTTTTTCACAATCTTTGAAGCTTTCATTAGCAGCTTCGCTCTCATTATTAGCAGCCCCTCAGTATGCAAAGCAAAACAAGACAAAATTCATTCATCCACCACTTCGAAACAAAAACAAGAAAAAAAATGCAGCAGTGGATGAAGAACACATTCACGCACATTAAGCACACAACTCACGCACCTTAGGCACAAGACCCGCACACCTTAAGTACAAAACTCACGCACATTAACATTACACATTCACGCACATTAAGTACAAATCTCAGGGCCAATACTCACGCACATTGAGTACAAATCTCACGCACATTAATCAACCACACAACCGCACGGGAAGCATTCAACCGCACATGAACCTTTCACTATATATATATATATATATATATATATATATATATATATATATATATATATATATATATATATATATATATATATATATATATTATTTTGGTTTTAATTAAGTGGTTTGGTTGGATTAAATAATTAGAAGTACAGTTGTTATTCAACCAAACTTTGTGCTTAATATAAACATGTATTGATGGAATACATGATATTCATTATATAGCATATTCAGTTATGGTACTCATACTGCTCAGTAGACACCAATACACCATATGTGGTTCTGAGTCTAGTATAAGGCAAAATATGGCTAACGGTCTACAGTTCAAAAGACGACATAATGAGAACATCAACTATGGATAGAGATCAACACGGCAACCGCTTCCGTTTATACGAGGTCAAATTTCGCGTATGTTATTATTCAGTATCGTTAGATTATTTATATCTAACATTTGGTATCTGAGCATTCATAATCTCTGTCTGGTTGATTGTTTTGCCTAAAATAACATTAATTTGAATCATATACATTGAGTTTTAGTATATGTCTTCATTCTTTAAACTATATACGCAAAAGTATATCTATTCAGTAAGGATATACGTGTATGTTTTGAGTGAATTAATTACGATTGATTCTACTGAAATTAAGTATAATTTTGATTTGTTTTTTCAAAATTATTAAATCTGATCTAAAATTACCTTATGCTTGCCTGAATTTATCGGAGAATTTTCAGATTTATTATCCAGTTTCGGTATTTGATTTATTGTTTTTCTTGCTACTACTACTGGGGAAGTAATTGGTAGCTACAATTAAAAAAAATGTTGTTCTTCCCTTCTGGTTAGTTATGGCGCCGATTTTCTAGAAAAGACAATATGACGACGACGGTGACCTTTGTTGGCCGCGAGAATGACGGAAGTAGGCGTGGGCGGCGACGGACGTTGGCGCTGCGAAGAGGGGAAACTGTGGTGGTGAAGCTGGGTTTCCGGCACATCATTTCTCTCTCTCCTCATCCAGGCGGTGCCAACTCCAGATTGCTGCTGTTTTCCATCGTAGCTTCGGACGTCTCTCACGGCAGCTATGGTTCACGTCTGTGATTGAGGATGATGGTGACGACGGGGTGCATTGAGGATGATGGTGACGGTGGGGTTCTAGCAACAAGGCTAGCTGGGTTTCCAGCGAATCGTCGCTAATCCCTCTCCTCCTTCAGGCTACGCTGTCAAGACCTTTCCATCACCTCCATTGGCGGTGCAGCTGGTAGGGTTTGGTGGTCTTAGTACTTTCAAAGCGCCCCGCCCCATTAGGCATGCCCCACCGCAGGCCTAATTTTATGCGAGCATTTGTGGGCCGGCCAGCGAGCTAGAGTTCATTCAACCCTAGCCTGCCTCAAGCGGGTTAGCAGGCCCGACGGGCCAACCCGCAGACTTTTCAATCGTTATACCCTGCACCACGGTGCACAAAGCACTGTGCACCCCGCGCCTCCCAAAACGACGTCGTTTTGTTAAGTTATGTGGGGAATCGACACAACATATATAGTGTATGTGTTTTATGTTATATAATTATGTACATTCTGGTATACAATTATGTTTATTTTTTGTACAATTATGTACATTCGAACACGCGATTTTTTTAACAGTTAAAAGTTTATGTACATTCTCATATACAATTATGTACATTCTCATATACAATTATGTACATTTTAATATACAATTATGTACATTTTCAAAACATGAATTTTTTTTAACAAATTAACAACAAACACGAAAAGGCGAAATTTTCAAAAAAAAAAAAAAAAAAAAAAAAAAAAAAAAAGTGCAAAACAACGTCGTTTTGCACCAGGGCGCACAATGGAATGTGCGCCCTGATGCACGATATAAATTGCCGAGACTTTTTTTGTTTTTAAAGATTAAAAATCAATATTTTTAAAATGTTAATTTTAATGTTTTATGTATTTTAAAAGTTAATATTTTTAAAATATTTAATGTTTTATATATTTTAAAAATTAATATTATTAAAATGTTAATGTGATATATATATATATATTGTTATACAGCAAGGCAGCATTCTGCCTTGCTGTGTAACGTATATTTAATATTTATGCCCCATTAGGCCTTCATTTTCGCGGGCCTATTTTTTCATGACCCTAATCCGTTGTATCGAGAGCGGGTGCGCGCCAGCTCACGGGTTTCAGGGCATTTTGATAGTACTTGGTGGTCTTCAACAAGCAAAAGATGATGATGAGTTATAATTTTTGAGTCGGTCAATACTTAAAAAATAATAATTCTGAACCTACTTTAGTTATTGGGCTTGCTTTAATATTTTCTATCATCATATTTGGACTTCTTCTAGTTTAGTTTATTAATTTCTTCTGAAATATCTCCGGGGATGAGATGCATGTGCTTCTTCCAAAAACTAATATTGGGAACGAAATTGTAAGCACAAACAGCACAACTAACAGTGAGTTATAACTCTTCATTGAACTGTTAATTGTTACTTAGAGTTAATTTTACCGGAAGTCCCTTATCTTTGGTGGCAATTCCAAATTTAGTTCTAGACTATTGTTTTTGTCATTTTACATCCCAGACTATTGTTTTTTGAACACTTTTAGTCGTTTTCATAAATTTTTTCTATTTTTAATAAGGACATTTTTGTCTCTTCATATTTTTCTTTTGTTATTTTTCCGGTTTCAACTAGTTCAATTGGTTTAGGACTTTACTGAATTACCTAAAGTTCTAAAACAATTAAACTGGTTGAAATCGGAAAAAATAACAAAAGAAAAATATAAAGAGACAAAAATGCCCTTACTAAAAATAGAAAAAAATCATGAGAACGATTAAAAGTGTTCAAAAAACAATAGTCTGAGATGTAAAATGGCAAAAACAATAGTTTAAGACTAAATTTAGAATTGCCACCAAAGACAAGATACCTCCAATGAAATTAATTGTTATTAGTTATGATTTCTCACTATCTCTGCATGTGCTTGTGTGTAGGCGTTAGTATATAGTGCAGAAATATGGACAATGAATTGAACTAGTCATATTATTAAATAACATAATTAAAAGAGTTTTTTATCAAAATAGTCCCTCGACTATTACGAAATTATTAAATTGGTCCTCGACAATTTTTAGTGTCTAATTAAGTCCTTCGACTTTAAAAATGTTAACCATTTTGGTCATCCGTTAGGTCAGGTGTTAGAAGTCTGTTAAATTAGAGGGTATTGATAGAATTTCACATGAATCTAACTCTTCACCGGCACTGCCAACCTCCTCCGATTGTTCAAGATGTACGATGACGAAGCTCCTTGACGGAGGCAACAAACCCCCTCGTCCATGGCCTGAAATTTCAACACCCTAAATCCAAACCCAAACTTCTTCAACACCCTAAACCCAAATCTCAAAATTTCAACTGCTGAGCAAAATAGCTTAACAAAACCTAATGCCAAAAACTTTCCAAACTTCTTCAAAGTCACCGAGCTCTGCGACGGCGGCGACCTCTACGTGAGGGTATTGCAGTGGCGGCTGTAGGAGCCCATAGCTGCCGTAGTTTTTCGGCAGCTAATGTTCGCGATCAGCTTCTGCCACCGCGCCGGCGTCGCGCATCAAGACGTGAAGCCCGACAACGCGTGTTGTTTGACGCGCAAGGGAACCTCAAACTCGCCGACTTCGGGTCGGTGGAGTGGTTCTGAGGATGAGACGGCGGCCGGATGTCGGCAGTGGTCGGGACCCCGTATTACGCGGCGCCGGAGGTGTTGATGCGCCGGAAGCTAAGGATCTGCTTAGAAAGATTATCTATAGACGGATATTCTCAAATTGAACTTGGAGATTTTGGCCTTCCTTTTCGTGTTTCGATATTTGAGTAGAACTTGAGCAAGATATAAAGGATGGTTGAGAAGAAGTGACAGAGGCGGAGTTGGGGTCCCGGCAGTGGTGGCGGAGGCATTTACATGGCTGAAGGAGAGAAGGGAGGTCAGAATCCTCTGTGTTTTCACCTAGGAAGCCCTAATTTTTCTCCTATTTTGTGCTATGCTTTTCCTTCGCCTATTTTGTTCTATGTTTTTCGTCGATCGGAATCTTCTCTCCTTCGTGTGTTTTTCACCTGAAGGAGAGAAGGGGGCTCGCTATGATTTCACAAAATTGGGGATTTCCCCCCTTCGTTTGTAAACAAATGGCATGGGCAATCCGGGCAGTCCGGTCAGTGAGTGAAATTACAGCAATGCCCTCTAATTTAACAGATTTTCAACACTTACCTAACGGAGGACCAAAATGATTAACATTTTTAAAGTCGAGGGATTTAATTAGACACAAAAAATTGTCAAGGATCAAATTGATAATTTCACAATAGTCAAGAGACCATTTCGGTAATAAACTCTAATTAAAATTATCAGCTGAATAAATGAATCGAACCATCATTAATGAAAAATTAAGTACGTACGTTTCAAACAAAAACGGATTCATTACGTTAGTATAATTCACTAATTAATTTGTAGTATTTTTTTATTTTTTATTTTTTTATTTTTTGTAATTGATAGCAAAAATTTTGATATATAGAACAAATATTATTTAGCTTTGTGTTCATTAACATTTATGGAACATTATGAGCCTACTACGAGTGAATGAAATAGATGTGATGTATATGTAGTTCAGTAGTTTAGTGTTTAATTATGTTCATTAAAGTTTAGATATACGTTGAACAAATATTATGAGCATAGCGCAAAATGAATGTTATTAAATAAGATGTGGATTAAGTAAGATGCAGATGTAATGTAACTTTATGTAAAATTGAGGGATTTAATTAGTAAAAAAAAAATAGTCAAAAATCAAATTGATAATTTTACTATACTCAAGGGACTATTTTAATAATTAACTCTTAATTAAAAGGAATATATAAATTAGAATTACATATAGAGGTGAAGACATGAGTTCCCAATCTTTCATTGCATAACTACACATAAGAAAGCAAGCATTGTTTGTTGTCTAATAGAAAACAAAATGTGTGTAAACAATTTCTAATTTATTATTACTATCAATAAGTACTCCTAGTTAGCAACAATATATTAAAGACATAATTATGTCTCAATCAAAATTATATTCCTTATTTATGTTCATATTTTTATTGCTAATCATTTTGCACATTGTGCTTTTTGAGTTATACTATATAATTTTTGGACCAAAATACCCCTACCGTTATAATTTCTGTTATCTTTTCTATTATTGTTACCATGCACATGCATCAACAATATATTTCTTATATTCTTTAATGATAATAATATTTGAAGACATTATATATAAGATTAATATAATAAATAAATTTGATTTCATACATATTTTAATTAGTAAGGATTAATTAGTTTTTTTCTAAAATATAAATATTGAGCATATGTTTTTTTGTGCATTGCGCATCGAAAAGAGTAGTTAGATTTTAATAAAATGCTAACAACGTTCATTAAGCAATGTACATTTATACAATCTTACACATTCCAGTTTATACCATATTGCTAAAGGTTCAGCATGATCGGGAAAATAATAAAGATTATAATAAATACAGCGTCCGATTTCCTCTGTCAGAATTTTATTAATGTCTTTTGAAATATCTCCGGGGGATGGGGATGGGGATGGAGGTGTGTTTCTTCCAAAAACTAATATTGGGGATGAAATTGTAAGCGCAAACAACACAACAATGAGCTTATAACTCTCCATTCTACTGTTAATTAGTAGTTATGTTTTCTCTCTATCTCTATTTTATTATTTGGGTTGTCTTAATTAAGAATACGCTCCAATGATCTCTGCATGTGCTTGTGTGTAGGTGTGAGTATATAATGCAGAAATATGGACAATGAATTCAACTAGTCACATTATTAAATAACGTAATTATAAATTATCAGTTTATTAAATGAATCTAACCATCAATAATGAAAAATTAAGTATGTATGTTACAAACAAAAATTCATTCATTGCGTAAGTATAATTCATTAATTAATTGAAATTTTTTGTAATTGATGGCGAAAATTTTGATCATATAGAGCAAATATTATTAAGTATTTTTTTAATTAACATTTATGGAACATTATGAACCTACTATGAGTGAATGAAAATACATATGATGTCTACATAATTTAGTATTTAACTATGTTCATTAAAGTTTAGATATATGTCGAACAAATATTATTATGAACATAGTACAAGAGGAATGTTATTAAACAAGATGTAGATTTAATGTAACTTTATGTAAAGTAAGTTTTGATTTTATAAATAAATAAATAAATGTATATAAACGGATCCTCTCTCTCTCTCTCTATATATATATATATATATATATATATATATATATATATATATATATATATAGAATAATGCTCATATGTGGTCATGTTGTTAGGTGTGGTCGTGTGACGGAATTTCAGAATACACTAACAGTATTAATAACATGCACCAACAGTGTAAGGGAAACACACCACAATGAAATGTAAAAAAATACCAAAAAATACACAACAGACCCAAAAAATACACCATATAACTCACAAAGCCCAATGGTACGTGTATTTCCGAACACTATATGGTATTTTTACGCACACCTAATGGTGTGTTGTTGGTGATCCGTACCTAATTTGTGTGCGTTTTTTGTGGTACATTTTCTAACGTTGATGGTGTATATCTTACTTAACTATTGGTGTATTCTGAAATTCCGCCACACGACCACACCTAACAACATGACCACATGTGATCACCCTATATATATATATATATATATATATATATATATATATATATATATATATATGTGTGTGTGTGTGTGTGTGTGTGTGTGTGTGTGTGTGTGTGTAAAAAGTACAAATACGGCGATGTCCTTAGGTGCGGCGGTGTGGCGGAATTTCATAAAACACCAACAGTGTTAACAACATGCACCAACAGTGTAAGCGAAACACACCACAATGAAATGCAAAAAAATACACAAAATACCTAAAAAAAAATACACCATATAACTCACCACACCCTAATGGTGTATTTCCGAACACTGTATGATGTTTTTACACCTAATGGTTTGTTTTTGGCATGGTTGCAGTAGGCGCTAGGCGATAGGCGCTAGTCGGGTGCCCGGGCAACGCCTGGCGCCTAAGCAGACTAGGCAGCGCTAGGAGGGCGCCAAAAAAATAGTAGGAGACTTGCATTTTAACAATTTTAATGAGGCTGTTTTTAACATTAAATCAAATAACACATCCAAATAAATGAAATAATGATAATTAATAAATCATAATATCAAAATAATATTAAAAAATAAAAATACTCAAATACTTCAATTATCCAAAGATTCAAAGTATCAAACTAGTCTACGGACAGCTGGACCAGACGAAATCGGTCAAAATCGAAAGAAAACGACCAACTCAGCCGATTTTGACCGATTTAACCCCATTTTGCGGCCTAGCCGGCCGCCCGATTTTTGGGCGCCTAATAGTGAAAGCGAAACGGCCTAGGGGTGCCTAGCGCCTAGGCGCCGCCTAGGCCGATTTTTACAACAGTGATTTTTGGTTATGCGTACCTAATTTGTGTGTTTTTGTGGTGCATTTTCGTAACGTTGATGGTGTAAATTTGCTTAACTATTGGTGACGTCGCACCGCCGCACAAGAAGGGTCAGTTGCACCTGAACTTAACCATATATATATGTGTGTGTGTATATATATATATAATTCAATTCCCGTGCGGTAGTTTGGTTAAATCTGAGCCACTGATCTTGCTTAAATCAACGTTCAGGATTATCAAAATTTAAAAAAAAAAATGCAGTGGCAATTTGGTCATTTTTGTATCTAGGTCAAATTTAAGTTGAGTGATTTTTGTGTTTAAGGTGCATGGGCCTAGTGCTTGTGCATGTGTTTTGTGCTTAATGTGAGTAGTGTTGAAACTTAAGGAGCGTGGTTTTTGTGCTTAAGGTGCATGGATTTTGTGCTTAAGGTGCGTGAGTTTTGTGCTTAATGTGAGTATGTAGTTGTTGAAACTTAAGGTGCGCGATTTGTATGCTTAAGGTGCGTCAATTGTGTGAAACTTAAGGTGAACCATTTTAAAACCTTAGTTGCGTGGTTTGTGTTTTTAGGGTACTTTGTTGTGTGCTTAAGGTGCGTGGTTTGTGTTCTTAAGGTGCTTTATTTGTGTGCTTAAGGTGCGTGATTTGTGCTCTTAAAGTGCGTCATTTAATGCTTAAGGTGCGTCAAC